CTACGCCACGCGGGCATCACGATTGAATGTTCCTTAAAGATTAGGAAAGCATTTAAATAAGTTAGGAAAACTTACAATATCTCACTCATTCAAAATGTTGAACTACAGTTATTGTCATTTAATATGGCATTTCTGTACTGAGCAGAATACTTGGAAAATTGACAAAATTCAGGAAAGAACATTATGATTATTAAAGTTCATATGAAAGTTTATTACATAAATCTGAACTACCATCTCTGAAAACTAGAAGAATGCTTGTCATTCCTCTAGAAATTTTTAAAATTATCCAAGGTTTAAGTCCAGTCATTTTTGCAAGACCTATTTGTTTTAAAAAAAATAATTCATACAATTTTAGATATACAAATACTCCAGAGGTCTCAAGACCAAGAACAACAAGGTATGGAATAAAGTCCTTCAGCTATGAGGCAGCAAAGCTCTGGAACTCTCTGCCAAATGAAGTAATGAAATTTTCCTCTTACAATCAATGTTCAAACCACATTTCAACTTGGTGTGGCGAACTAAATTGTAAATGCTCTTCTTGCAAACTCCAGACTTTTATGTCTCATACCAAACGTCTCACATTTAGCTGCTTCCTGTTTGCTGGTTTTAAGTTTATGATTTTACTTTATTATACCCGCACTTTCTAAAGAAAGTTCGGGTATGTTGTTGTTACTCATGTCTGTACGTCCGTCCGTCCGTCTGTCTGTCACACTCTTCTTTCTCAAACTCCTCTTACATTTTACATAGTAGCCTAATCATCTTTTGGGAAATGGTTGGTGGTGTCATGTAGATGTGCAGTAACGTTTCGGAATTTTCATTTTCACCCTGGGGGTCAAATGGGGGTCGAAAAATGACGTTTTTTATGCAAAAAGCCCCTGGTTCCCTGAACTCCTCTTACATTTTACACAGTAGTCTAATCATCTTTTGGGAGATGGTTGGTGGTGTAATGTAGATGTGCAGTAATGTCTCGGAATTTTCATTTTCACCCTGGGGGTCAAACTGGTATAGCTAATTCAACCACAGAGCTTAGTCAATTTTAAGATGCACAACCTATTCAACTCTTAATCATTCTCACGCTAAAGATCGTTTCTCTGGTTTTCGAAAAAGAATAGGCTCATTGGGGGCCGCCAGAGAAACCCCAAAAACTCTCAAAACCGTTCATACAGTATTTAATTAATACCGCCGAAATATGGCTGAAATATTGCCGACTCGGCGTAAAACAACAATAATCAATCAATCAATCTTAATCATTCTTAAAATATTTATATCATTCATTTCTGATTCAAGGGAGAACTAGAGATATGACCAGAAGTATATCCATTGACTAAATAAATAAACATGTACATGTATATTGTGTTTTTTAAGTCATTAATGTTTGTTTGTTGTTAAATGTCCCTCTCGGGAATTTTTCACTCATATGGAGACACCTGTCACCACTTAAAAATAATGAAGACGTACAAGTCGGATTTGAGGTTAACATTTATTTTAGGAGTTTTCAACAATAAAGACGTAAAGAGATAACCCCTTTCCCTCGCCCCTTCCCCTTCCCAGATCCCTGTTTGTTCATGTAACTAATACTTTATTTTGACATAAAAAAAATGTGAATATATACAAATAGTTTAATGGTCCATCTCTTTGAATGATTTTCATTCCTAATTCTAGGAGGGTTCATGGGTTGACCCAAATTCATGAATGAAATGTCAAGCAATCTTATCATTGATGCACTTTTATTTAATTTGATGTCGTCATATTGTGAACATTTCCAGTTCATTAAGAGAGTGGGGATGACCTCCAGGGGTTAACAACCTTAAACCATTAGATGTACATAACATAATAATACAAGAAACAAAATTATGTATACTCAAATGGAAAAGTTTTCTACTATTTTGGAGTTGCATGATCGTTTGTCATTTCAGGGACACATGCAGGGAGTGGCTAGGGAGATTGGAACCCCCCCCCCCCCCCCCGGACTATATATAGGACTATATACTGATTTACAGAAGCAAATAAAAAATGACTTTGGACGCCCTACCCCTTTAAAAACATGGACCCCACCATCATTGTTTTTATTTTGTTTGTTTGTTTGTTTTTTTACCCCTGGAAAAAAATTCCTGGATCTGTGCCTGTAATTGAATGTAATGTCGACAACGGGAGATAACGCTTCAGAATGTGAAATTCGTCTATTGTGGCATCCAATGATCTTTGATCCTTTTTAAGCTTTAACCTAACCATTTGCATTTCGGTTATTTTAACCCAATCTATACTTAAACTTGTACTTACCGACTGTCATAGGTCCTGTCAACCTCATGAAATATAATCCAATTAAAACACAAAATGAATTAATTTCTACTGATATACATGTAATCACGTGTACACCACATGCACTGCACCATGTGTAATGTATAAAAATGATAATGAAAAAAATAGTACTAGTAGGGTGAGGCAAGCCCAATGTGATGTAGTTCAAAAAGGTGTTCACATACATGTACAGTACAAGAACAAATTTTAAATTATCATAACAAACGATGTGTAACATAACTTTGACATCTAGGCCTATTTCTAAAAGCAGGTTATTTGTGTGTGTGTGTGTGTGTGTGTGTGTGTTGGGGGGGGGGGACAAAATTGATTGGGTATGGCTTTTCAAGGAGGTTTTTGCCCAATCAAATACTAAAAAAAAAGTTTGCACATTTTGAGAAATTCATCAAAAACGCTTTGTACTAAAATAATATTATTTGTTGTTGAGAAAACAAATTTATAAAGTTCCATTTATGGGCCAAAAATTTATATCCCCCTTTTATCAAAACCTAATTTACATTGTTAATTAAATTAATATGTTATTTCAGACTGGTAATGAATTAAGTAAAGGAAATACCTATAAGATGCTCATAGGTCACATGGTCATCTGAGCATTAATTTTTATGCTCGAATTGATGAATTCATACATGTACTGTGTAAATTATAGAATTATTTTGACTTTTTCCTTGGTAAGCCCAATATGAAGGAGTGTGCATTTAGAGGCAAACACCTTAGTGCGGGTATTACTGTCTCATGACAGCATCTAGTTTACTATATTAGTGCTGGCTTAACCCCCTCTTTTATTTCATGTGTGCATGACATTCGTTGTATATATATATATATATATATATATATATATATATATATATATATATATATATATATATATATATATATATATATATATATATATATATATATATATATATATATATATATATATATATATATCTGTGTGTGTGTGTGTGTGTGTGTGTGTGTGTGTGTGTGTGTGTGTGTTACTGATTTCTTTTGTTGTGTCTTTCATTTGTTATTTTTATTTGTGTTTATTTGTGTCTTATGTTTCATTCTTGTGTTTTATATGTGCGTCCGTTTTTAAGTATATGTACGTGTAAGTTTAAGTACATGTATGCTTTGTCTTACATGTATTTGTACATTTTATATGTGCTAAATATGTTTCTATGCTACCAGTCGGTTTCAAGCTCATTTTTTTGTTAAATGTATATTATCCGACTATAAATAAAATTTACTACCACTTCTACTACTACTAATTCACACACAAAAAGAAAGAAATTTTGTGTCCTAAGGTTCTTTATATATGTTGACGTTGCAACCATTATGGTGAGCGCAATTGTGTATATTATATGATAGCATACCTATTCACTGCTAACCTAGATCCTCCTATTCCAACCCCACGAGACATTTGGAAGATCTAAAGTGTGACGTCACATGAAGTCGCATGTTAGTTGCGTATTTCAGTAACAAAGTCTTAAATGTTTGATTGTTTAACAAGGAAAGTTTAATCTACCACCTTCCTACAATATCCATTGAATCATGATTAGTTAATTCCTTATTTGTGAACTTTCGTTGATTATCGAGCCATCGAATTCGTTTGGATGTAATATGAAATATTATAGAGCATTATTGATACTGAGTTTACTGCGGAAAAAATCATGATAGATAGATAGATAGACAGTTGCTACCCATTTTTATCGACTTAGTTCAGTCGCGGCCGAGATTCGAACTCACGACCTCCCGATCACGGAGCGAGCGCTCTACCGACTGAGCTACCGTGAACGGTAGATTAGATTAGATTAGATTAGATTAGATTAGATAGATAGATAGATAGATAGATAGATAGATAGATATAGATAGATAGATAGATAGATAGATAGATAGATAGATAGATAGATAGATAGATACATAGATAGATAGATAGATAGATATGCCGCTCAGCATATATAAACGTGAAGTTAATTATTTTACGTCATTAAGGTCTCAGTTTTTCTTTTTTTTCCCCTTAAGTTCTGTGCATGAAGGCGATTCCTCATCCCCACTGTGGTATATTATAGGCGTCGCAGTGGGAACAGTTTTCCTCCTTCTTGCTCTTATAGTGGTAGTTTTTCTGTGTTACAGAAAGAGACAAACACGTGAGCACAAGATTGGTTATATAATTTCTTAAAACGACAGTTGAAGTGGATAAAGGAAAGCAAACTATCATAAATAATATATAACTTCTCAATATATGAATGCACTAAAACTTATCAATCAGTTTTGTAACAGTTTTGTATCGCTATATCCATAAATTTCTAATTTTATTTCATTTTTTTTTTCTTATTTTATTTTTTGTAAATCGTGGAAACTAATTTTTTCTGACTTTGAGCAATGTTTTCTTCAAAAGCATATATTTCTTTCTTTTATAATCACATGATTATGTTTCTCATACAAGAAAGCTTTTGTTTCAAGAGTAAACCAGAAAACGAAGAGCAGAATATAAATTTATTTAATCTCAGTATGTTTGATTAAAATTATTAAAAGGGATTTCCATTTTAGAGAAAGCCACAAATGGAAAATATGAACAGATGCCTTTATTATCTAGAGGTAGATTATTGATTTTAAAGTTCATAATTATGCAATTCAATAAAGCCAAATCATACAATTTCCAAATACTTTAATAACATTTTATCACTAACATATTTGTCCAGATATACCATTCTACAAAACTTCTACCTTCCACGAGGCAAATAGTTTTCTCAAAGATGGTGGGAAAATTCTGTGTTTGATAGGACAATGGGGTTCTGGGAAATCGACAACAGCAACAAAAGTTTATATGTCCCTTACTGGAAGGAAACCCATTGTAATAGAGGACATATTGGAGTTTGATGTGAGTACTTGCCAGGAATCTGTCATCGTAGAAAAACCTTTACCAAGAGAGGAAACTTCTGACGTAGAAAAAAATAACCGTGTAGAAAAAATCATTTCGTTAAGCAAACATATACTGAAAACAAATCAAACATTTATGATTATTACTTCAACTGAAGAAGCTTGGAAAACAATTGCAAATGAAATAAAGAACTGTGACTTTGATGAAAATGTATATCGCTGTATTGATCTTAATTGGAAGAATTTATCAGATGGAGATAGGAGTCAAATCTTTCACACCATTTTCCAGTTTTATAATCCAGATAAACCATTCTCTATAGTAGAAGAAAATGTAACAAGATTTCAAATTAATAATGTTGGAATCCCGGAAACCTATGTATTGTTTTCTAAATGTAGCGAATTTTAGAAAACAAAAAGCAGTGTTTTATTCTTTAATAGACCACTGCGTCATTTAAGTTCATACCTGGAAAAAAATGTGTCAAACTGCAAATGAAAAACAAAAATTTCTCGTACTAGTATATATGAGTTTAAATGATATGAAAATTGATGTGGACAAATCGAACGACAAGCTTTGGGAAATATTCAGATCATATAGTCTGAATACTGACAGTGTACGTCTTAAGTCAATCGTACCCTGGGAATTCGTCGTGGAAGAAGAACCGTCAGTCTATGTGTTACAACACGAAGGTAATAAAAGAATAACACTCATAACATTTGGAAAGCTTTATTTCTCAGATTTACTTAAGTGTTCATCGCAGAAAGATCTGGAAGGCTGGATAAAACACAAGAAGAGAACATTCAAAGAAAAATTCGAGGACTGTAACAAACAAACCTCGAATATAGAGCCATTTCTTGAAATTAATGATGAGCAATGGATGGAATACCAGGAAAAAATGGGAACGACAATTTGAAAAAAAAGTGAGAAAAGTGATACAATAAAATAGCAAAAATAATACTGGCGTCTTAAACATTAATAATAGCTTGAGTGTAGATTTTTTTCTTTATTCATTTGCTGATAAACAGTATCCAAGTGTAAAACAAAGTTATCGAGATTTAATCCGCAGAAAACAACAATCCATAATTTAGGTAAGGCAGTAAATAAAAAATCCTTGTAACAAAGAAAATGTTATGCTTTTAAGTGTTTATTCCCTATGTATTTACTTATTTTCATATTCTATATATTACAATTAAATGTATTTAAGAAATAATTTATAGTTTCTATAGATTTTGGCTTGTGTTTTGCTATGAAAACCATATGCTAGTTGTTTTTATTCAGGTTGGATCCTGCTCTTTCATTTCAAAGTGGAAAAACATATTGCAGCATTAGTAAAATCCCAAGCAAATATATATGAAAGTCGATTATGACAATTTTTTAAATACATTATTCAAAGCTTCATTTTTCATTATTGCATTATAACATTGTGCCATTCTATATTATCATTATACATGATTGGCTTTTATGATTGGGAAAGATAGACAGAAGTATACTACATCATGCTAATAATTTCCCACATTTTGCTGATGTTAAGTACATTTCATTATTTGGGTTACAAAGTACATATTTCTCATGAATTTAAAGTCATATTAAAAAGAGATGATATACAAATGATAGTGTAAAAGAAGACCCTATTGTTTCATTTCATGAAAAATCATTAATATATCAGCGCCTTTCGTCGAAAAAACTTTTAAGATGGGGGGGGGGGGTTGTTGTTGTCAAGAAATCGTGCTAAATTAGAGTGCTAACATCATCAACAGCATGTAGATTTTCTTTGCTTCCAGTTTAAATGACTGGGGCATGTTTCCGTTTGTCACTTTGTCACTCCATCTTAGTTCGGTCTTTTTTTCGATACTTGTAGATAATTAGCTGATTTTTGGCATTAGTATTTATATTGATGATTTAAAGATTAAGTTTGGCTTTCCCGTTCATTTACACATTTTTAGGAAAGTTATTTCTCCTATACCAAGATGATTTCTAATTATTTACTGTTTTTCGGATTGATTTTTGCTTTGCTTGTAGAAACGAGCTGATGTTGGATATGTGTATTACATTGAAGACTTTCTGTCGAGTTCAAGTGTCATTTTGATTGACGCATTTCCATGAAAGTTATTCACATTAGTCGAAGAAAATTACTACGTGTAATTATTAACTTTTTTGGAAGTATTTTGCTGTGCTTGTAAAACAAATTATTTATTTACAATGTCCATTGCAGGTATACATACATGTGCATATAAATGTCTGCAAAACTGTGCACAATGTTTTTTTAACGAACCTGTGACCTAGTGTTCACACCCATTGGTTTTCATACATACACTCACACTTGAGCTTAATTTTGGTTTCTCTTTGTATACTGATCACTTACAGATCAATTTTAAGTTTTATTTTCAGGAAAGCTAATGTCCTAAATCTAATATTCACTGTTTTCCACACTTTTTGTAGTTGATCGCTAATTCTACATCTAAGTATAGTGTGGTATTGACAACGGATACAAGAAAACAAACGCAATATCATGTACTTTTGTTTCATTACCACCCTTTTTCATTCTCCTTGGACTTTCACATATTAAGTACTATTGTTAGTCCCTGCTTTATGAACCTAGAAACAAGCCATTTTATGAATGTAAAAATATTTTTACAATGATGAACAACAGGCTTGTGCACGTGTTTGTAATTTTATTTTTATTGACCCTTTCAGAATTATTTAAAAAGAAATGGATTTGTATCTTATTCCAACATTGTTAAGTGACATTTTCCCTGAATTATGACTTTACATCTAGATCATGACAAACCATAGTATGATCCATTCCAATGAAGGATTCAAGAATTTAACCCGAATACAATTTTGTGACAGATCAAAATTAAAGCCGATAATCAATGTTTTCCTCCCATTTGAGGAAACATTTATAACTCTATGACGTTATGGAAACCCATAGAAAACGTGATCTTAATAATTCTTAATATATATAACTAATATTCACTGTTACAAAAGTAACTGTATACATGTACATTCAAGAAAATCAAAACAGATTTATGTCGTACTAAATACTATGGTATGTGACTGATATGATCGTCAGGCTTGGACAAATGCTTCCAGACGTTTCTGGACGTAAAAATTGGTAAACGTTAAAAGGATTTTACATCTTGAACCTGAAACCCGCAACCTACAGGGAACTATTGTGTTCAATTTTAAATGATGTTCTAATTTTGCGGACAATACGTGCAAAATTGAGAAATTTCTACCTTGGTCCAATACCGTAATAAATAAAAAAAGTCACATTTTAGAATCAGGTCCCAACACATTTTGAAAATATACATGATATAAGCAATTACTATTTCGTATTTGTTTTCATATTGTCTTCGTGTATGCCTTTGTACTTTTGAGTTTTATCGGGACTATGCAATTTTCTTTACGTCTCTGTTGCTGTGCACTTTTACTAATATTGAGCTATCCATTTGTTCTTAATTTTGTTTAGTGTATTTATGACACTTCACAAATGAACATGATTTCATATCTAATTATATATTTGTTTAATTATCAAACCAATGCATCCACTCCTCTTCCTCACTTGTACCAGACTAGGGGCGTCATGTGTAGAATGCAAGATCTGTTTTTAAATACTAGGCAGTAGTGTAATCAAACGGTAAGACTCTGCATGTATATCTTAATTATTAATGGGTAAAATACTTATATAAACTTTTTACTTGTGCAACATTGATTATGTAGTTTAACTCCCGCACTTGCACCATCACGGAGATCCAAAGGAGTTGTAGCCCCCCCCCCCCCCAAAAAAAAAGGAGGGGGCTACATTATTGCAGCTATTGTTGACCCATCAAATGAAGGTATCTCTGAGTATATTAAATTGCCTAAATTTTGAAACGATACATGTGGCTGTACTGAAATTTTATGGCAAATCGTGTAGCATATCGAGAATCGTGCAGAGAATTGTCTAAATAGAAGAACCACATATAGTGTTCAAGTCTCAACATATTTGCTTATAGAAGACCAGACTCACACACAGAGGCAAAGAAACACAAGATGAAAAACACAAAAGCTCTTCCTGGAAGTTAAACAAACCACAGAGAATCCAGAATTCTTCTTTTTCCTTCAAACAAACGAAAGAAGACATCATCAAAATTATGCTTACATTGGAGGCGAACTGAATTAGAAAGATACAAGTTTATGTTCCTTTCTAAGAATATTGAATGACTTTTGTCCCCACATAGTAATTTCAAAACCATCATAGATCTATGTCAGAGTTTAACAAGCTAATTTAGAGAATTTGTGTCCCCCCGCTTAGGGAAAAAAGAGCGTGTGCAGTGCTGGGGGGGGGGGGGTCGGACCCCCCTGGATTTGCATAATTATTTAATGTATACCTGTATATTGAAGAAAATGAAAAAATGCTACGAAAGCCTATTAGGATCAAAATACGGTTAAAAAAAAAAATTAAAAGGCGTTATAACGCCTTTTGAAAAGGCGTTATAACGCGAAAAAAGGCGTAATAACGCCTTTTGAAAAGGCGTTATAACGCGGAAAAAGGCGTAATAACGCAAATAAAGGCGTAATTACGCCTTTTCAAAGGCGTTATAACGCGAAAAAAGAAGTTATTACGCCTTTTCAAAAGGCGTTATTACGCCTTTTCAAAAGGCGTTATTACGCCTTTTTAAAAGGCGTTATTACGCCTTTTCAAAAGGCGTTATTACGCCTTTCTAAAAGGCATTAATACGCCTTTCAAAAAGGCGTTATTATGCCTTATTATGCCTTTTGAAGGGCCATTATTATGTCTTTGACAGGCCCGTGCTTTTAAAGGGGGGGGGGGGGTTCCATAAAATTGACAAGCAAACAAAAAAACAAGAAACACCCCCCCCCCCCGAAAAAAAATAAACTGCCTAAACTTGAGGGGAAACTTTGTCTAATTTTTAGGTAAAACTTTTTTTAAATGCAATGACTTGCCCGAGTTTAATCATATTGCAACAAAATGTTAAGGGACCAAGCAATCAGTAAATGATTTTTTATATTTAAACTATAGCAAGACTATTCTCCCAAAAAGTGGGGTGGGCC